AATGAATCATGTCTCTGCAGCACAATGTCTGAGTTTTCTCGTCAGTGTTCCCATGCAGGAGGACAGCCTCCAAACTGGAGGAGACCAGATTTTTGTGGTAAGCTTCATGTTCCACTTCTTATGTGGTATTTTTTTTTTGTAAAATTTGTAACTACATATACACAACCACCTGCTTAATAACTCATCAAATTAATAGTATGGTGAGAAATGTTTTGGATACAAAATGTGAAAACTACAGCAATTTTTATCCAAAGTTAATTAATATTTTAAATTTTGTCAGGTTAAATAACCAGAGGCATGGCTCAGAACAGGGGAGACACTTCTGAGGAAAAGACTCAGAGTTTCACCATCACCATAAAGATAAGGGGTGGTCTTTAGAGGGTTCAGATTTTTTTACTGTAGACAGAGAAGATAGATGTTGGAAAGAGGACAAGAGGAAGCCAATTACGTTTAAGAGGAGTAAAAATAACTTGATAAGCCAGGGCTTAAATTTTAGCTTTAAAAACAAAGTAGGAATCCAGATGCCCCAGTCTGTTTCAAACCAGTTCACACCTTTTTGCATGTGGCATAACATCTCTTAGAGATTTAGGCGACCAAGATGCTTAATTGATAAGCAAGTCCATTCGGTAGGTACATTTAGATTTCCAGAATGAAACTTTACAAACACTTTAAATGCCCAAAAAGTTTCCTTACTACCTTTAAAGTGAGAAAACTTGTCAAATCAAGCACATAAATACCATTACCTGCCATATAATTGGCCTAATTATCCACTCCATTGGAGAGTTTTTCCTCTCCACTGTCGCTACAAGCATGCTTAGTGTGAGGGATTGCTGAAGAGTCAATGAGTCGATGCAATTAATTGGTTTTCCTTAGATAGAAAACTTTGAATCAATCTGACTGGATGAACTGGTGAACTGGAAAGTGCCTTGATATGATATATGATGTGGATTGGCGCTATAGAAATAAACTGAATTGAATTATTTTTTTAAGCTTTTTTTATGTTGATAACATACAGGCTACAATTTGCCATAATCAAATTTCATTAAACAATATTCCCCATTGATATTTATTTTGGAAACATATGAAGTACCACCTTAATTTATCCCACCTTTTATCTTTCCAGGTAAACATTGTCCCCACAACATGATATATGAAGAAAGTGTTTTTCCTTGCATGGATACATGCACACAGGCACACACAAGATCAGTGTGTGAGGAGCACAAAATCGATGGCTGCTTCTGCCCTCCTGGTTAGTTCTCCTCACCTAGGAAATGTGTATTTGGTCGTTACTGATTCCCCAACACACCAAATTACCTTTATGTTTGTCCCCAGGAACGGT